TACTCTCATAGAAAGAACTACATTGGTAGTTTTCTTAAAACTGGGGTGGGGGTGTTGGATGGCCGAATGGTTAGCACGTGCGCGCTGTATCACAGGTCTGTCATTGAGTCAACTGGCGTGGTTTCGATTACCCGGCATAGGCGTAGGAGCCCCCCCCCCCCCCAAAAAAAAAAAATTATTTTCGGGCAATGAAAAATTCGACGACCTTTCTTTTCTATTAACGTTTAGAGAAAAAATATAAATTATTTCTATGAGATCCACACTGCCCGAAAAGTATTTTCTCATCTTTTTCTTGTCCACTGCATGCCCGAAAATATGCCCGAAGCTCTCTTATGATATGTATGCCCGAAAAAACGGTATTGATTTCGAGCAATTTTCTCTTATGCCCCCCTGAATTACTTTGAGCTCCTACGCCTATGTTACCCGGTTGTACGTGACAAGAAGAAGGGTCGACTGTTCAACCTCATGGGTTTTCTCCGGGTCCTCCGGTTTCCTCCCACTGCTAAAGACCCTACGCGCAAGCGAATTATTGAAATAAAATTGAACCTCGTGGGTTTTCTCCGGGTCCTCCGGTTTCCTCCCATTGCTAAAGACACCTACGCGTAAGCGAATTATTGAAATAAAATTGAACTATGTGTTAGTCCCGAAATAACCTAGTTTTTGTCGATTAGATAAACCACATTTCTCTCTATCTCTCTATCTCTCTCTCTTAAAACTGTGTCTTTCTCCGTTAATTTGTTCATGAAATGAAAGAGGCATTATTTAGGATTAGCTAAAGGGCTGGCAGTTCTCGCTATAATAGTTTTTAAAAAAAAGAATTTGTTAAAAATTTCAATCAAAATACACTCTGAGCCGTGTTATTGCCGAATGCCGATACAGTTGATTATGATCTTGGCAAGTTAATGTCTAATTGATGATTTATATAACATTCAAGGCATAAAGAAAGATCTACAATAGGCAGATTTAGCGTTTGCATAATGCCTGTTTAAGCTTGACAAACCAACCATTTACAGCAATTTAGTGTTTGCAGCTTCACTGCATGATATTGTTATTTGTTTATAATTTTCCATTTAGAATGTCACTAACTAACTATAAACACGATTTTGCCTTTTATTTGATGACGTTTTTAGAATTTATTAGAATTAAAAGTTGGTGAGTCTATGACAAATACTGCGTATACCAGGAATCGTGTATTTTGTTTCATCCCCTTTATCTAGTTTTAAAAGGAGTAAAATAAAATAACTTAGAATTCTTAATACTTTTTGTAAATGACTTATAGCTATGGCATGGCTAATTGCACTCTGTCGATCAAATTTATTATTTTATCAGAACAAGCAAGATTTTGACAAATTACAAAGGTTATACCTTTGTTATCACAGTACGTAGATTTTACTGTCGATTACAGAAGAAACAAAACGGAAGACGGATTTAATATAATTTAGATTCTTATTGAATGCAGATACAATCAAATACACTCTCAATGTGGTATACCTACTGGGATATTTGCTTATGTTTTCTTGTTTATTTTCGAAATGAATATTATCTGCCAAGAACGTTCAATACCATTTCTTTTTAACCGATGTTTGTTGTACTTTCTTTTATAAAAAACTTAACAGGTAATTATTAAACAAAAATTCTAATAATATTTTAATTTGTTGTTCCCTTTTTCCTTTTTTGTTTATTTATTTATTTTATTTCATTTTATTTTATTAATTTTTAAATTAATTTTATTTTATTTATTTTTAAATTAATTTTATTAATTTTTAAATTAATTTTATTTTATTAATAAATTACTTTTAATTTATCTTTTTATTAATTAACTTTATTTGTTTGTTCGTAAACCATTGTTCATAATTATATTAACTCTATGTAACATGAATATTAACCTATGACATGTTGTGACCTCTGGCCCATGTCTTAGTTGATAGTGTCAACAACATAGATATAAATAATTCAACATGTTTTGGTGTTGAGTCATATGTTCATTAGTTTAAAGTTTGCAAATCCCTTTGTTTAAAATACCAATATATATTTAAAAAATAAAACAATGAAACCCCACACAATATAAAGAAATTATAACACAGAATATATATCAATTTTTATATAAATTATTTTGAAAAGCCAACATACAAATATTTTAAAAACAAAATTAACATCCTCAATATAATTTGTTTTGTATAATTTTAATTCGCATTTTGTGACAATCTCTTTACACATTATTCGAATTGATGTCGATGGTTATGATACAGATTGGCTTCAAAACTATTAAAAACCGAAGAATTGTATTCATACAATGGGGGAGATCAAAGGCAACAGTGTCTCATTTGTTTGTGAAACCCACTGGTTAAGCTTCAATTTTAATGGGTGTTAAACTGTTAAGACTCTTGTATTTTTCATTATGACCTGGTTATGAATTCATTAAACCTAACCTAGTAGTCCCTAAAATATATAGGTATCAAATTTGTAAAGTATCAAATATGGCGAGCTCTTTGCTATTGGTTAAAACTGTCCAATCACACAAAACTTCCTGGTCTGGACTAAAAATAGAATTGATCTATAAATTGGGTTAAAGGTTATGATTGTTTATTTATGTTTATAGTTACCGTTATCGGATAAGTAATTAGATATACAACAAAGGGACAAATAATATTTATGTGAAATCAACTGGTTCGTAATTAATTAGTCTAGATATAACAAAGTCATTGATTGGTACTTTAGTCGCAAACCAATTAAAACATATTCAATAATTTTCTTAAATATGTGATACATATTATGAGATGGCTATAGACAGCTATACCAGGCCAATCATGAGTCACTTAATTTCGTTAATCCAACTAAATGTTATTAATGAAGGCCATGTTGCCAGAATTAAAGATATTATAATGAAAATCCTACCCTTTAACTTCGTATTCAAACAACCTATTAAAAACTTTTATTAGCCAATTAGTATTCTTATATATAAAAAAAAGAGTCTAGTTCACAAAACTATTTTGTTTAGTTTAAAAGTGTTTTCGTCACATACATCAAGAAATGTGAAACATATATTAAAATAACACTAGATTCATTATGGTATAGAATATACAAGCACAGATATACTTACAGTAAGGTATTACAGTCGTACTTGAGCTTTCGTTAAACTTTAGGTACATTTGTCTCAGATTCGACATATAATTTTGAACCTATCCACTTACTATACCTATATCTTCAAAATGTTAAAATATTTCACCACGTGAAAATATAATATAGTGATCCAAAAATGAGACATTATCTCTTTTCTTAGGTACATCCGTTTTTTATTTGGGGGGGGGGGGGTTATACTTTCACTGTGTATCTTCATTTTACTTGGGTGGTGGACTACAATTGTACCGTGCAGCATAAACAAGGAGTCATGATCGGATGACCTATGCTCACACAACTTTCATGGCATTTATTTACGGTACTTGTCAGTCTTTTGCACCGGTTGGTGAATTTACAAATCTTACCATGTTAAGTATAAAGTTCTATGTTATACAAGTAGATGAAATATGCATCCATGTCAATTTCTCTTGAAGCCGGGCCCTTTATTGTTTGACTTCCTATTATTATCATTTCTGTTTCATCATTAATTGATTTCAAGAAATGATACCCCATATCCCTTCTATATAGTGTCTTGGAATTGTACACCTCTAATATTGTCTGTTATAGCAGGCATTTAGTTCGGTCTGTTAGTAATCTTGCTCATTTTCTGGTGTAGACGGTTAATGGTAAAGGGCAAATTACTGACCCTTGTAGGACCACAAAGATGGACTTTACTGCCGAAAAGTTTCATCATTTATGCAGAGAATCATGGTTACATCCTAAGATTTCTAGAATTGTCCTCATACCAGATCTTGAATAATGAGGTGAATCAAAGGGCATATTACTTATCCTCGCGGAACCATAAACATGAGCTTTACAGGCGAAAGGTTTCACCATATATACAGTCAATTAACGTTACAACCTAAGATGTAGGATACCAGATTTTTCTTTTGTTTCATTATAGTCACAAAGAAGTGCATATTGGTAACAGTAACTCAGTTTATACGGTTACTTACAATTTTTTTATGAGTTTGTTGATTTCTAAATGTTGAGGCAATTAGATGGCCAGGTTCTTTTCTATTATTTTGTAGACCAACTATAGATTTGAAATGTGTCTGTGGTTATACAATTTTCAGTTTTCGAATGGTGTAATTATGTTAGGTAGTACTGGCAACCAGGTACCTAAACATCCATTCCGTTGAAACAGCCATGTTGGAAATCGACCCCGGTTGCAAGATGTCTTGAACTACTGAGTCAGTTGCTCTTCTAAGTTTCAAAAGAAGTTCATTTTCGAATTGCCTTTTAGTTACAATCTCCGCACGTGCAGAGTACTTTGGGTTCTTTTTATGCAAACCTTGTGGAATTATGCTCATTGTATTTATTTGCCCGTGAATTACTAATTTAGTTTCGGTAAATATTTTTCTTCTTTTGACCTCAAGATATCCGGAATGCCCTAATGTATGTCCTAGTACATGTCGGTCCAAGATCATCTAAAACTAAAAACCCATGAGTGTACTGTTATAATGTCGTTCGAATAAGATCTTGGGGACCGAATAGTCAAGTATCTGAAAGACGAGAATGATACATATGAAAATTCGTTATTAATTTCTTAATAGAGTTTATATATTGTACTGTTTTCGCTGATCACTCTATCAACTGTATATTTTTCACTAAGAGCTTCTTTCGAGGATTTGTAGTTCAGATACCATTTATACATGGACTTAAACATTTGTGGAATTTATACCACAATGTTTTATATAATTGTACATAACCAATCATTTTACGTTTGTGGTGAAAGTATCAAATAACCACACCTAAGATATGACCCACAAAGACGAAAACGTCCTTGACGTAGTCACGAACTGAGCATATGTGACAGGTCAATTGGACCTAGATATGCATACATTTTAATAAACATTAGTGGAGGTAATTCTCCGAAAATACGATCTGATTAAAGAAAAGGGCGTTTTAGTAGCTTTCCATATTTGGAATAAGCCTACACCCCTTCTTATTGTGTCATGCATTATTGACGCAAAATAAAGCTAATATTATACCTACCCTATGACAGAGAGTGACACATCTTCAAGAACAGATGTACGAATAGAAATTATCAATCTAGCTATAAGTGGGTAATCACCTCTTCCTTACTATCATCCATCATGGGATTCCAGAACTCGCCCCAAACGAATTATACCTGCAAATGCCAAATTGAGCAAGCTGAGGTGAATACTTTGGGTGGAGATCGTAGCCCGTGGGTGCGAATATGGACGGCGGTAGGTGTTGCTATCATGGTCTTATTCATAGCGTGCAATATTACTTTGATTTTATGGATGAAAACTGCACAGGAGGCATACATCGCTAATAATATATATCTCGAAAATATTGTGAATCAACTAAATGCAGATATAAAAAAAGTTGCGGCAGAGCAGGTAGGTGAATCTTCTATTTCAATAACTTAGTACATTTGACAGAGCTGCATGATGCTGCAAATTAAGCATTTGCATGCACGGCTAAAGAGAAGTCTATTGATCCATTGATTACAGTGCGCAACGAGTTGTTTATAGTCAGTATATAAATACTCATGCATTATATATATGGATATCGGGTTTCTTTATATAGACAACTACGCTATTTACTACAACAATCGGCTGGTTAAACCCATTGCATATTTTGCATTTGGGTATTATTTCGCAATTTTCATATTGGGGGTTATTGTTGCATTAGGGATAGTTGGGGATCTACATTGCAGAGCTGTTCCCGCGTGATTCCTGTCGAGAGATAATCACGATTAAGCCACGTGATCTCTCCTTGCAAGATCTCGGGAAGCTTAAGACAGTGGTGGTCCCACTGTACTATAATATCAGCTCCCGCGGGCGCAGAAATTAAGTTCTTGGGGAAAGAAATTAATTTTTAACCATTTCATATTGATGAATAGCTAGCCATGATACGAAACCAGGACTTTCCTTGGATGGCCCATCGCGGTATCTTAACCGCCAATATTTATTGCCTGTAGGTCAAATACATGTTAAAATCGTAACGGAAACATGGAAACCTACGGTCATCATTTTCTAATAATTTATGACAATCGTCTTTATCTAACAAGTGCTCTAGTTCAAGGCCGGTCAATTGAAATTACGCAGATAGCTGTCCTTCTGGGGAAAAGAGAAACCCCTAAAACTAAATTATACCGTCTGCGTAAATTATTCTTTTTTCCATGCCCTTCGGTTATTTTACACCATTCCACTTCCACAAATATAAAAATAGATGATTTTTAGGTTTTCAGGTGAACAAATAAATCCCTATTCCGACACACGGTTATATTATAATTCAAACTCACGGCACCCATAGAAACTCAAAACTGAAGCTATGCGTGTATACGGTGCAGGTCATGGAATCCACTAACGAACCTGAATGTCACCTTTCAGATATGACGGCGTTGCGGTTAGTCTTGGAACCTGGTTTGGTTCTCTTCCCTGTTTGCAAATGAAAACTATTTCATGTCATCCGAGAATATGATCTTCTTGCTTTTTATTTGGTTCATAGTCTTTATGAAACACACCAGAAGGGATAGTCTAAACAAATCAACTCTTCGTGATTGGTAAAAAAATCTTTATATGGGGTGTTTTATTTCTTATTTATTTAGAAGAGGCACTGCGTTTGTTTGTCATCCAATAGTTCTGGGTCTTTTCTGTTTCATGACGGAGTAGGAGCACCTTATTAGTTGCACATTGAGACATGGTCCTTTTGTAACCTTATGATTACCATCCGAACAATCCGGGGATGTTTTTTTTTCTTAAGCATCGGTGATGTGGACAATAATTTGTAACGATAGTTATAATAAGGATATCATTAGGGGAAAAAGTGGTTTCGGGTGAAGGTATCGTCCACGGTTTATTACAGTCCTATTTGACCTAACACCTCTGAGTCCATTCACTAGAAGTGTTAGGTCAAATTTAATAATCAACAGGCGATACGTTTCAAGTCATTAGCTTGAAGCGTATATATGGTATTAGTGTCAGTGGCCTGTGGCACGAAGTAACAGTATATTGTCGCATACATAATATATTATGTCAACGCTTGGGCGATATAATATATTATGTCAACGCTTGGAACTAGGATGGAGGTGACTAGGCATGAACTTGCAACGATAGATTTAATTGGCGCTTTGATAACCAATGAATGCTTTGGAGACATATTTTGGCGGTATTTTCCATCATGGAATCGGTAAGTTTCGATTGTTTTTTTCTTTTCTGTTTTTTCTCTCTTTTCTGTGTCCTAACCCTAACCCTAATCCGAAAGAAAAGTGCCCTTTTTTGAAATTCTGACATCACAGGTGCCCTTTTTCTGATAAGGATGCCCTCTTTTATTTACAGGGACACTTTCTATTGTTAAGGGGGTGGACCGGTCCCCATGGTCCAACCCCTGGATCCGCTCTGATGACGCGTACATTCCACTGAGTCTACAGGTCTAATATGCTAACACGCTTGGAGCGTCAACACAATATATTATGTCGCCCAAGCGTTGACATAATATATTATGTATGCGACAATATACTGTTACTTCGTGCCACAAGCCACTGACACTAATACCATATATACGCTTCAAGCTACTGACTTGAAACGTGCAGGGTGCAATCAAATTAAAACAACCAATAGCATTGATATCAAATGTTCATAATACTCAAGATAATTTAAAGACTTAAAATTCCACAAAAGGATATTTTTATCTCTATAATACAACGCTACAAAACAAGCCAAATATTTTATATAACTGACGAGGCCATAAGGCAATGGGACTCAAGGCTTATTCGTAATAAAATACCGTTAGGCTATCGCGACATCGACCCAAAGTTGGGTCCCGTGTCTTCACAAAGAATTAGTCATTGTCGCGGTCTTCTCTTAAATCACTTAGGCGACGAGAGAGAGAGAGAGAGAGAGAGAGAGCAATGGGATTTAATTCCACTCGACTCAAACCAGGTTATTTCACTTTCAACAATTCGGTTGGGCGTGCGGGTCTTTAGCAGTTGGGGGAAAACCCCACGAGGTTGGACAGGCGGGGAATCGAAACCATGTCATTTGACTCAATGACAGATCTCTTGATTTCACGCACACGCGTTAAACCCCTAGATCAGTCAGCCCCCCTTCCCTTAGGCGGATTAGGTACATTTCCAGGCTTGTGTTTATTGTTTAAATAAAGCTTATTATTTTTATATATACAGCATCTACATGATTTCTAATGATTATGATTGTAATATACAAAACATTTACAATAATTTGATAATGCCAGTTTATAATTGAAAAAGGAAATATATCATAATACAATAGAAAACATTATTAAGGTACATTTGTATTTGTTTTCTTAAGAAGTAAAAATCAGTAATGCCTTTTAAAACCTTTTTATGTCACTGCTTTGGAGATGATCGTTTTTATAAATTTGGACGTCAGCTCTTTACCCCCGTTTAGTTATTTTATCTTCCTTATGGGGACAATTTAGTTTATCTTAAGAATGGTTACACGAATATCTATGAAATTTCGCAGAAATCCTCCTTTGATGATTAAACTGGGACATGGACACCATAGTAGGGGAAAATTTAAACATGATTATGGTTTCAAAGTTTCAAGTATTTATATGAGTATTAAGATCTAGAAATTACAAGTATTCCACAAACTGTAACAGGAAATCTATACTCGATGTGAATGAAATTAGACAGCTACTTATTTCCTTTTCGTAACACATTATAAGACATCAGTTGGATGAGATTTAAGGTGATTTTACTCTATTTAGTTCGAGAAATCCCTATATTTTTAGATTAGCAGAAAAATAAATTATATTTGCTGCTAAAAAATTCACCTTAACCAGCGCCTTGTGCTTTCATCATCACGGCTAAAACGTCCGTCCTCGTATACTGCCATATTGTCAATTTGTCAAATCAAGTTTCTTACTGTGCGCTTACTACCCATTTTATGTCCATAATTCTATTTTCCCCAGAAATGAAAAATGCCATATTTATCATACTGTTTTATAATTATATAAATGAATAGTATTTGACGACAATATAATGAAACTAACAATTTTCAGGATTGTGATGATGACCTTGGTGATCAAGAAGAAGATGCTGGTTACATTTTACGAACTGCTAGAGGAACACAACCTAAAAATAAAAACGGTAAAAATGAATGCCCAGGCTTTGAAAAACTCAGGATATTTGAAAAGGGGCTGACAATTAGTTTTGTCTTGTCTAGTCGTTCTGGTGGGCATGCAAAAGAACCCTTGACAGTTGGAATTCGATAACGGGTAGGCGGAAAGTCCACTATCTGGACAAAATGCTACTCCCTACGTGAACATAGAAAACAGTATTAACCGTATGTAATATTGGCTTTTTTTTCAAAATGACCCAAACCTTGCGTTAAATACATGTACACCCCATTCTATTCACATCATAGTTACCTTTCCCTGTTTCTTTTCTCGTCTTTCTCTTGTATTTCCTCGGTTTACCCAATTCGCCATTGGTGCTATTTCTTATGGAATTGATTATATTTCGTCACCTCGGGTTTAATATTCGTCTGTCATTATTCTTTATTCAGTGTTTTATACCAGTCATAATAACATGATGTTTGATCCAAGTTTGATTGGTGTAAATATATTCTTGCATATTTTCTTTGGGCTAATGAGATGATTAGGATCTTCCCAAGTAACAAAGTAACATTTACGTCTGTTTGAAGCATATGGTGCGTATAAGAAAACAAAATAAAATAAACACAAAAATTCCTTGTGACCTCAGAATTTTCACATCCATAATTTATACTGATATTACGGATATATATAGACAACATACTGTATTTGTCGGTTTCAGGCAGAAACAAGCGACACCGACGGAAATCAAAACGAAGCAGATGTACGTAAATTTATTATATTAAGTTACTATTGCTTATAGGGCATTTTGTGATAGGGAAAACATTGAAATAGCAACTCCACTTACAGTCTTTGATCTTTATAAATGTTTAAACAGAATATAATTTCTTGTCTTTGTTGCTTCTTTACATCTGTATAATACTTAAATGCCTATTCTCAGCTTTTTGTATCATATTATCGTTTACCTTGTGCTTGCTACTTGTTGCTAGTGATTGTTTACCATAAAGCAGGGTGTGTGTTATTTCAATGTTACTGTTGAATTAAAATGTATTTCAATACATTAGACATAACTTTTATTTAGTATATGTGATTAGTATGATGTAAATATGATTAGTATATAAACATGATCAACTATATTCGTTACAGGTAAATGTCAAAAAGAAATAAAAGCAGTAGAAAGTGAGTATCCAAGGAACTTATCTTATTGTTTTTTATACAGAATATCCCATCATATATTACTATGTTTTGAACTACAGTCATAATGTCGTGATCCTCCTGACTTATAAATAAAAATTAACATGGGCATTATATTGATATATTGATGAGACGTTAAATCTGATTATATTTCATATCATGAAATAATTGATAGTTGCAATAATGAGTAATCAGAATATTACACTTTTAATTGGACAGCACGGATTCTGAAGCACTTTTCACATCTTGCCACTACGGAGTTTATTTACGATAATAATTCAATTTCATTTTTCAATGACGAGGTCGCTGTATTTTATTTGAAAAGAAGAGAGAGAGAGAGAGAGAGAGAGAGAGAGAGAGAAATGGGGTTTAACGTCCACTCGACACAAACTAGGTCATTTCGGGACTAACACATGGTTCAATTTTATTTCAATAATTCGCTTGCGCGTAGGGGTCTGTAGCAGTGGGAGGATACTGGAGAAAATCAAGGAAGTTGGACAGGCGACCCTACTTCTTGTCACGTACAACCGGGGAATCGAAACCCCGCCAATTGACTCAATGACCTTATGATACAGCGCGCACGTGCTAACCATTCGGTCATCCAACCCCCTATTTGAAAAGAAACAATGGATTCAATAATATCATAATACGTTCGCAATGCACATATTGGCTATAGAATATAGGACGGGTTGGTTTGAATATCCATACATTTCAGTATTTGCCTTTTTTTGGCAGTGAAGCAGTCTAGTGTCAATAGCATGTGATTACAGCCGAGCTTCAGTAAAAAAATTAAAAAATTTAAACCAAATCAAATGACATTTGAAACTTATGTAGTCTCTTTCTTTCAGATATGTTAACAAAAACAAAAAGATCAACTACGGTATGAATTTATAATAGTATACTCAATAATATCTCAGCCTACATTGGTTTCAAATTAAATTTTAGTTCATTAGTTAAGGGATTGCAAGGTTATATCCAATGCGAAGTCAATGCCGGTACTCTGAAACTAGAGTACTATTAGTGCAAAATTAGTCTTTATTTTTTCTAAAGATAAGAATCATGGATTTGGTGGTTATTATATAACTTAATTTGTCCGTTTTAATTCAAGTTTATGTTTTCTTTCTTTAAAATTACCAGATTAGAATATATAAATAAAATATTCGCTCTTGTTATTTTTAGAATAGACGTCCTGCAACGCATTTACGAGGTTTAAATACGACTACTGGCGCGCAGCAACCAGCCACTGCAAGCGGTAAGCTATTCAAAATAATAAAAGGGGATCAATAGGTAGTAAACGCTCTGTAGTGAGTTATTATAAATATATTCGAGAGATAACAGAACACTCTTAATAAGGGTTCCCCTATTTGACTTTGTCATTTGTCATTGCTCGCTGTTCTCTTTATCATACTGGCGGTTTACCCATCATAAACAATTTGATCCTTTACCATTTTTTTCAATGTTCTTGTAGATGGAAAGTTCCTATGGAATTCCCCAGAACGCACCTATGCTTCTCAATTCATTTATAACAAAAATGCCGATGACAAAGTTCATTCTATACTGATAACGACGCCTGGTTTGTATGAGATATATTCTCAAGTTGCACTATATGGTACTAAAGCCGAGTAAGTAAATAAATATACTTCTATAGTGGGGTTCTCAAAAATAAATCTCATTTCAAAGTATTATAGTGTGGGGGGGGGGGGGATAAGCCATAATATATGAAAGTATCATGTCAATCATACCGTTCTTCCAAAAATGATATGTTTCGATATTTTTGTATGTTAACTGTGATTTCTGCACACGACTCTTCTTATATTCTATTTCTAATGAAGAGATCTTGTAGTCCTTGGTGTACAGAATCTTTATGACATCATAAAAAAGTACCATCTATCCCATCTTTTGAACAACTGTAAGTGGACCTTCCATATCATCGAAACACATCTAGCGGCGTATTTCAATTTGATAAAAATACTAAATTTAGTTTCTTGTTTTATTCTGTATTTGGATAGCCTTTATATTCTATAGTAAACACACTAAAATTTGATGCACGATAAAAAACGAAACGAAACAGCATCTGTTTTAGTGATCTGTCTGCAGGTGTTTATATTATGTTGTATATTTTACAGCGTTGTTGATAGAGAGTGTGGACAAGAGATAATCAAATCATCGGGTGGACAAACTACAACCCTGGCTAAGAGTTTTATTACACAAGTATTCGAGTAAGAAACACGTTTATATATTCTATATCTTTGGGAAGGGTATCGCCCTTTTCACACTGAACCATTGAAGTAACCAAATTGTCATCTGCTATTCTAAAATAAAACAAGTTAAACCCTAATACATTCATAATTGGGTTGGGTATTTTTAAAGATACATTGCATAGTCCCGAAAGTATTTATCGAGTGGTTATTTCCAATAAAAGTATGGCAAATTTGGTATATATGGGAAGCATAGACACCCAATATTACTAGAAAAATACTGGATTACCCGAAAAACATCCATATGGCAAGCACTGGGTAAAAATGTCAGGGTATCACTAACTGGCAACCCGACTGTCAGCTTATTATGTGCTAGCTTGATTGAAGGGGCGATTGTTATTTCTTGATGAAATGTTTAGGCGGTTTTTGGATCACTGAGAAGTGACAACGTGCAAAAAATAGAAGTTAACAGAAAATTATTAAGAATTTACTTAGGCCTCAATAGGTATGGTAAATGGGCAGTAGGTGACAACAGTTTATTTATAGCTTGGGGTATCTCCCAAGCAAATACAAAGTTTCGATTGGGATTTGAAGCAAATTTTTGATAGATTAATTAGTCTGAATATGTTTTTAGTCCAAATATATCATCAAATCACACAGTTTGTACGGGGGAAAGTATTTAAATGCCACTTTTCATGTAATGTGTATATTGGTAATCTTTTTTCGTTGTATTTTAGGAGAACAGGACATACAAATCAGAATCCTAATAGCGTCTCTAATCCCCTAGATACAAGTTTTCAAAAGGGTATATTCGCTCTCGAGGCTTATGATGAAGTGTATGTAAAGAAAAACTGTAATCACATGGATTTTATTTCACATCCTGCATATACCTACTTTGGAGTTCTCTTGTTAGTTGATTATAGTAACAAATAGCGAAACCTTAGTGATTGTTCCTGTGTGATATTCCTCACACCCATGACTTTAAACAACCTTATACCATTTGTTTTTAACGTTGCCCTGCCACACACTGTGTCCTGAAGATGAATATTTGTACGTTGATTTAAAATGCAAATTCCCATTAAATCAAATGTTAGTGAAATGCGCATGCTCGAGGCGAGCTAGATGATGGGTGGGTGGTTTTGATAAGCCAACTTTTTTTTTAACCCCAAGCATTTTTTAAATTGGTGAATTCGCCCCACTTTTGCCTTCAAACGGCACAGTAGAGATATCGATTTTAAACCAACTTAACTTTAGTATCTGAACGGCATAGACGGTTTTAATTAAAGAGTTGTGACTGTGATAGCATTCAATGTTTTTAAAACCCCTACAAATGGCAATTTTTATCTTGGTTTATTTAAGGTATTAATGGATTCTCGAGTTGCTATGTAATCCTCCTAATTCAGACCCTTATCCATGATCTTATGATCTTTAGTCTGCCATACCATTTTCAAATGTTCACAGCATTGGTTTAGATTTCTCAATGATTTGTCAGAAACATCCGAACTACAATACTCATAATTTATTCTAAACAAAGTTAGGGTAACTAGGGTTAAATAGGTGCTACCTGGGTGAAATTATCTGGTGATTTATGGTCTAAATGGTTAGAGTTAACAACATCTGTGGATGGTTTGTGTATTTTAACCAACTAATTTTAGTCAATTTTCTCTTATTCGTGAATGACGGTTCCTTTGAAATATAATTTTCCTCTGGTTTCAAATATTAGGTTTTCACTACGCAACTTTATGTTTATATTTTGTTTATTTGAACCTATTTAGTTGTGTTCTTTATAACATTTAATTTAACACAGTACCTTGTATAGGGCAATATAGAATTTGACAGACAATGCATTTGTAAATATACTGTAAATATGTATTTTTGTGTACACTCAAATGTTATCAATTGTATATAAATCCTAGGCATCTAAGTCTTTTAGAATAGAATATGCATTGCGGTCTAAGAGAGAGAGAGGGGGGGGGGAGACTAGGTCATTTTTGGGACTAACATGGTTCAATTTTATTTCAACAATTCGCTTGTGCGTAGGGGGTATTTAGCAGAGGGAGGCTACCCCACTCCTTGTCATGTACAACTAGGGAATCGAAACCACGCCGGCTGACTCAATGACGGACCTTATGATACCACGCGCACGCGTTAACCATTTGGCCACCCATCCCCCGGTCTAAAAGGGACAAATATAGATTCATAGAACATATAGGAAATACATGTTCGTTTTAAGATTATTCAAATCGATAAATTCTAAATTACTTCATAGACATATGAAGATAGCATTACTTTCTATGGTCAGTCAAGCCGATCCTGTACACAGTGAGTATCATATATTAGATGCACGATGTGCTTAAGATTGAAAAAAAATTTAAAAAAGCATGTTTAATGTTTGAAACGAATCTAGCATATAGCCAACTAATATTCATTTTATGAGTGGCTGAAGTGACAATTTTGTTAAATTGCTATTATATTAATTAATGTGTAAATATGTTAAATTGCTATCATATTAATTGATGTGTAAATATGTTAAAAATAAAATGTAAAAAAGGATAACTTGGAGGGTCTGTCTTGAATTTTATAATGCAAGGGAGACTATTCGATTTGATGTTTGAATATCTTATTGTATATGCAAGTCGATAACTCAAGGCACTGTGTTGTCGGCACTTTTTAGACCAATATTGTTAATGTGTGTGGGGAGGGGGGATTTTCTCCATCATTGGTCACATACAGATCCCACACAGTGGAAGTGTCGAAACAAACTGAATCCGACTTGCCTCAATGGAGTGGGTCGATGCGTGTGAAAGTGAAACCCCGCGAAGAGCCCTGTGTAGTCAGGATCCATGTGATCAACTATGCCCACTTCAGGCTTAAGATTGAAGATCGGTTCGAACTGTTTCAAATGAAACTGATCGGTGTCACTGAAAGACAGATTTTTGGAACTCAATCAATTCGCCAGAACTGTACTTTCGGCCATTCGATCCGGTACGGATTACAGGGATAGGATTCTAGGCAACGTCCACACCACAACCAATTGGATTACAAAGGTTGGGCGGGGGTCATTCTTTTTGGAGCTTTGAAATCTTTCCGTGAAGCACATTTTGTTCGGCATACTTATACCTGATCCTGAAATGAAATGAAATGGGGTTTAACGTCCTACTGTTCTGCTCCTAACCTGGGCTAATGAAGACGGGCATACGCCATACAGTGTGCTATGAGGGAAATTTTGCCCGGGCAGCGGCACTACGGCCTACTCTTATATCGAATTCCAACTGCCAAGGGATCTTTTACGTGCACGCCAATGTGTACACGGGACCTCGGTTTTTCGTCCCATCCGAACGACTAGACAGCTTTCCTTGTCAGCCCCTCCATCCTGCATCACTGACAAGGGAGAACCACGCCGGAAAATCTGGATGAACTTTCTCGGCAAATGCAGGGATCGAACACCCGACCTCCAGGCTAGCGAGCTAGCGTCTTACCCACTTAGCCACGTGATCCCCATATATACCTGATCCTGCCGGTGTGGATTATTTTGGAATGCGCTTGGACGCTGCCACGTCGTTTTCCTTTTACCTCCGGTGTAGCTCCGTATCTTCTAAATTTTACACAGTAGTAATTTCAGGACGTACCGGTGCGCTTGCTTTTTCGGATAATGATGTCAATAAACTGGCAAGTATAGCAGTTTGGGAAGGCTGGGATTTAGAAGAGTTAACAAATACAGAATTTTGAATCTTATATAGCGATATCTCAACCATGTCCATCCCTAATCAAACAAAATAGTACCGAAAGGGTCCATACAGTTATATCGAACTTACGTGTACGTAATTTTAGGTACGCTTTCACCTTACATGACAGACGATCGAGATATCATTGTTTGAAACACAGAATTACTCTTATTTCAAACCGAATCTTGGCTGTGGTTCCCCATCAGTATATATTCCTTTTAAGTAGAAAAACCAGGCATCATGCCGCCTTTGCGACCCAGGTTACCTTGATCAAATTTAAAATGCCCAATCATAATACTCATACAACATAGCATAATACATTAAAATATAATTTTATAATAATAACTGGGGTAATATAAATACAAATTACACGATATTGGGTATATTATCAAAAAGCCGTAAACATTAAACAGGGAAAATATCAACTGCATAACAAATACAGCACAAAATAACTCTTCGGTCACTCGCTAGTGGTCCATAAATATCAAAATGTATATTGTTGATAATGTTTATTCGGTCATTTTCGAAGAATTTTCTGATTCAAAGAACATAATCTGTATGGTGTCTCATTCCATGAAGTCTTGTTAAATTGAAACCCGTTTTGCGATGTTTGGTTTATTTTAGTAGTCCTTAGATTGTCTGCTGTTAAACCGTTGAGATGAATTTGTGGAAGGTGCAGGGTTGGTCTTCGGCTCCTGTATCTACTGCTTCCAAACACATGTGCATCACAACTAATACCATTCCCTTGCTCATTAATTGATACCTGGTCTTCGTCCTTAGTATATTTATAGCTAGGCGTTGGGGGTTGATATCCAAAGAAATTCGGTCTTTTTTTCTTTTGGGTATACTTTTCGTTGGGTGCATTAACCAGAAGGCCGTCCGTGTCGTTGTCTTGATTCATAGTTATTGATGTTTTGTTAGTCGTGTTTCCACAATTTCTTCGAAGTTGGTCAACGTTGCTTTTACCATTAACTTCCAAGAAGTTCATATTGACGCCATCAAGTGTCCGCGTTGATTGACGAAACGAGTCTTTGTGTCGAAATGTTCGAAAGTCAGCCGAACTAGACACATTCTCCAAATTGTCGGTCGACGCCTTCTTGCTTCCGTGATATTTAATCAATTCCTGTGAGAGTCGTCTTTGAATAATTAATTTAGTTTCGTATTTAACAGAACTTCGTCGTTGGGTGTTGCGATTTTGGGTATCATTTTCCTCTGTAAAGAGTCTCTCCGTCATTTGTCTGATTTCGGTACTCATGTCGCTTAGTTTAACAATGTGATTACGAGTAACACTGATTAAGTTACGGGATCTGTTAATGAAGAAGGCATGCGAGTCTTCTGCATTTTCTATAATAATAAAAGTAAACAATATCCTTTTTTAAAAAAACACTTCTGGTTGATTTAGAATCCTAATCAAAATATTATCAACAGTATTTGATTCACTTTAGTTTAGGGAAGGGGGTTTAACGTCCTACTTTTCTGCTCCACATACGCCAGGGACATTTTTCGAATTCTAGCGGTCCAGGGTTCTTTTACGTGCACTCCAATTTGTAAATGGGGGCTTGTGTTTAGTACCAATAGACGCTGTTTCTCACCACTGACAAGGGGAAACCACACCAGAAAATCCCGAGAAACTTTCTCAGCTAACACCGGGATCGCCCCGAAAACTGCAGGTTAGCGAACCAGTGCCTTACGGAAATCGCTTAAATTTAGGATGTGTACGATTTTAATATTGCAACATATATATTATAGCACAATGCTGTTCAGCTGGACTTTATAAAATTTCTCTCTCGAAACAGGTTCATGCCCTAGTGGTCGCTCCCTCTGGATTTTCAACTCAGTTTTAAGGAGCTTTGTGAAAAAGTGACATAATGTTACGAAACGAACATTTAACCATGGGTCATTTAAAAATTCGGAAGCTGTTTAAATAATTATATATGTATGATTAAAGATGGTAACATTTAACACAAACTTACTGATGGATGATCTTCTTCTTTGAAACATGGTTAAATTGTGATAACGCAATTCCGTGACTAATATCCTTTGGGTGTGTAACTAATATGAAGGAATCTATTACATCTCAAATGACTATAGGAAATTGGTTCCATTGTTCTTCACATAAAAGGGTATGATAATTGGTTGATCACAGTATATTATACACCATATTGTCCTGCACATATATTTGTCTAATATGTCAAGAGTTTAATACTTAATTAGTGATGGCATATTGTTTATTACATACTGGTATATGTTGTTAATTGATTTATGACCTCGATGTGTTATTTGGTAAGTAGACTAATAATTATGAAGTAGTCGTTTCCTCTCACTAATAATTTAAAAAGTCACAAATCTGATCTCCATAATTTGAATTAGTGTGTCTGGACAACAGTTAAGTCACCCCACCTCCCCACTTCCTGTGTTGCTCAGTCGGGATGGGTTTTAAAATAAGGTCTTACAAGTGTTCTTAAGATAGCAACCCAAACGATTAAAACAAAATACATAGGTTAGACGTCATCTTGAGCAAGATGTTCGTGTATAAAAATGGCGGCTTTCAAGAATTGAAATCCACAGAAGTAAATTGATGTATTTGGATGATTTTGAGACCAGTATGCTTTTTGATAGACTAGTTTTTTTTTGGGGTTTTTTTTTATAGTCTATAATTCCCTTTTAATGAATTATTGTCCGTTAAAGAATGTGACATGTAAAATAGGAAGATATTCTCAAATTTTCATCGTTTTATTAAAGACAATCCCCTATAGTTTAAACCTCTGATAACAACTTTGTTGTTGTTTTATAAATAGATTATCAAATAAACATCTTTAATTAGATACAAGTAAAGAATATTAGTTTCACGTGATTAAATATTTCACAACAATGATGATAAAGTTATCGATATAATTGTAACCGATATTCAAAGACTCGATTTACAAGACGCAAGTTTTATATTGCTGTAGACGCAGTGGATGCCGATGCTGACGTTGGCTATCGTGGACTGTGCTCTGATGACGTACTGATAAAGTCGCGCCTCACGTGGTATTACCGCCCCTCCTATATATATTATTATTTCTTATATATACCAGTTGACTGAGTGGAAGAAACAGCTTCATCTAAGCACACCGAAGAAACATCGACATCCCATCAAAATGAGCGGTTATCCAGGTATGACTCAATAAATTCAATTTAAATTAATTTATTTTTATATCGAAAACCAGCTAGTGAACTATTGATAAACAGGAACCCCTTAAATATGATGTAAACAAATTATAGCCTGACTATATAATTTTATTTTTATTTCGCGAATTTGGTCTATTAGCAAATATAAAAAGGTTATATGAGCCATTAGAAAACAAATATCCATTTTACTTATATCAAACTTCGACTAGGAACTATGCATAATGAACGATGTGTATAAAATTTAGCGTAAAAACATTGAAATGGTGTGTGACGTCCTATTGTTAGTATAGCGTAAAGGGGGAGAAGAGGGGGTCACTGTACATGTTACTATTAGAGAAAAGTCACTGTATTGAAATAATATATATATATATATATATATATATATATATATATATATATATATATATATATATTACATGTTAGCAACTTATCTTTCTTTTCTAAATCTTTGTTTCTATTTTTTGGTGTTTAATTTTTAAACAACTTCTTTTAGTGTACGATTTTCATCTTTGACTGTTAATGTTGTCGCACTTATTTTTGTTTTATTTTTAACATTAAAAGCTACGCTTATCCTTCATAAATCGATATTGGTATAAGGGTGAACACAATACATTTCTTATCTAAATTTGATTTCAACATATATTAGATTGAAAGATCAAACTGTATCTGATACCACATTGATAAACTGATACGCCATGAAAGATAATTAGTTTATATTGATAACGTTATAACATCTAGAAAAGACTTCAGTAAATAACTTTAAATTTAAAGATGCTCAATTGGTTAAATTGTACATAATTTAGTTTAAATATTGTTTAAATGTTATTTATTTGTATCTATCTTAGGTTACCCACCAGCTGGTTCAGCACCCCCACCACCATACGGTTACCCTGGGCAACCACCAGCAGGTTACGCACCACCCCCTCCAGCTGGTTACAACTACGGAGCTCCACCAGCCACATACGTTGTCAACAGACCCCCACCAGTACAAACCATAGTTGTAGAGGTAAATATACGCTTAGGCATAGATCTTTTCAAGTGGTTTCGTCTTATGAAATACATCCTTTTCTTAAAGATGCATTATGTAAGAGCTAAATCATTAATTAGACATTTATTCACACCCCAAGCCAATAACCAACTCTCTAGATTCTCGGATGTTTTTTTTCAAGGGATTTGTCAGATAATAATTCAAATAAAAAAATGGGTAATCTGGACTTTGTTTATTATCATAATAACGGTAGCAATGACAATCCAGACTACAATAAATCCGGTCAGAATAAAGTAATTTGGCTTAAATTTTCAACTTACTTCCTTTTCATTGTCTAATACATAATGCATCTTTAAGAGGGCAAAGTTTATATAGCAAGCATGCATGTACATGTGATTATCGACAGATTTAAATTTGTTAAAATAAATAAAACTAGTCGACCATTAATAATAAATTTTCTATTTTATTTTCAGGAAGGACATCATCACCACCATGGACACCATGGTCACCATGGTCACGGTATAGTTGATGAAATTCTTCACCATGGTTTTGGCCATCATGGTCATCATGATCATCATGGCCATCATCACCACCATCATTGTTGAATAAAATGGATGATTTTGATGGGATTAGGGGTATTTTGTAAATAACAAATATATATATTATTATGTGAAAGAAAATTCTAACAAAACAAAAAAACAAAAACATTCTTGGTGAGAATAAGTATCCTTGCTACATAATGTGAAAAAACCCAAAGAGGACTGAATGATAAAATAAGTAATCATAAGATAGTGACCGATTAATTTTGTTGCTTTTGAACATTGAACTGTGATAACTGTAATCATAATCCAATTGTTTCGTTTGTATGCTTGATATAATTGTGATGCACAAATTGACTCTCACTGTTTCTTTAATTAATGCACGGCACTTGCAAATCATTACTGGCTGGACTGTGCAATATTCCTTTGTGTGCCAAAAAGGTGTAAATAAATAAACTATATTATTTCGTATTTTATTGATTTAAATTCAAATGCTCTTACTGTTAATGTACAACTATAATTTATTTATCAATTCTGATTAAAGTACTGAATTTCCTAATCTGTTCTGTTGTATAGTCATAGGGAAATAGATTTGAAAACTATATATTCGGCTCTAGACATCTTGCATATCATCATAACAACTAATGAAATATAATGTTGCTTTTGGGGTTTGGGTTTTTATAATTATTATAAACTAACAGACTAGTGAACTTGGACAGATTCATAGATGCCTCTAAATTAGAGTACCGTCCATTAGAAAATAAATTATTTTTTTAAATTTTGGTTGGTATTAGTTAACACTTTTGTTTTCCTCGTAACGCTGCCTCGCACATGCCTTTAATATTATTTTAATTAATACCAATATTGTGTGCCCAACTTTCGGAAATCCTGAATAGGTAACCGAATTGGGCTGTTATGATGCTAAACTTATCTTGCACGGATGGAATTCTATACCAAAAACGTGGTATTTTCTGTTTCTTAGTTTCCTGCCCCAACCGGGCTAATAAAGACGGATATATGGCATGCAGTGTGCTATGGAGAAGGGAGAAATTTTGCCTGAACAGCGGCGTTACGACCTACTCCTATTTCGAACTCGACCACCCCAGAGGTTCCTTTACGTGCACTCCAACGTGTACATGGGACCTTCCGGCATGCACTACTGACAGGCATAGGCGTACGGGGAAATTTTTGACTGGGGGGGGGGGGGGCGGTGGTGGTTGGTGCCCAAAAAATGTAGCTAGGTTCTTAGTATGTTACATAATAATAATAAATTAGCTGTTAAATTGGACACATTCAAGAACGCAATATTATTTTATACAACTTTTACAAAGTACAATTGTGTGCCCAAATTTTCCCAGCATTTGGTGCCCAAAATGGGGGGGACGGCCGCCCCCCGTCTCGTACGCCTATGCTGACAGGGGACATAGGAACATCACGAAGAACAAAGATTATCCGAGCCACCTAATGGTCTATTTGGGGAATGCTGTATAAATTTGTGGAGATAGGTAGGGTGGCCCATGTACTCACAGTAATACAGTCCACCGCTGATAGTTCGAGACTACCACTGAAGCGTGCACATTCGCCGTGCCGAGACCAACTTTCTGACAGTATGATACTATAAATAGCCATGGCACGTGCAATTCTCTACAAATCTATCAACTATTACAGCCGTAAAAAATTTATTGTTGACGATTTTGGATAGCAGTTAAATTAAGCTTCTTGGTTATTACAGCAGATTTAGAAATTACGTTCGTTTCATTTTTTAAATCGCTTTATCATTAACTGTACCGTTAAGAGCGGCATCTTTTGGTTTAGTACAAATAATATATCTGAATCACTCGGGTTAGGCAGGAACATGATACTAGCAGTAGTTTCATTTTACTTTTACAAGCTTCTTAAAACGATTGTTGAGCTACCTAACGTGCTTATTTCTAAATTCAATTTCTTGTTCTAGCTTTCTGTTACGTTTCGTAAAAAAGTAGTCTTGATTATCCCATCCTGTCAATCAGACGTAGAATGGTCGATAGACTGGTTAAGCGAGACTAATTTCAAAACAAGGGCACGTAACCTATCTTTTACTCAAAAGTGTCTGGATGTTATGGACGACTCTTGGAACCAGTTTTCAGTCTATTATTTATACATGATTAATGGTCATAGCTTATTAAGTACAACATGATCGTTTATTTAGTGACTATAATTGTGTGAAACTGATTTGAGGCTTGGCATATATATAAATATTGTGGCGTAATTGTCGAGATATATGGAGATATTTATTTATGGTGGGTCACCCTAAGATAGGCTTGTAGAATTTGATTACATATATTACCTTCAATAAAGCAGACAGGGTTTACATTGGTATACTTGGTGTTTTGGGAGGTCCCGTGTTCATGGGATTTGAGTGAAATCGCATCTATTGTGTTCACGGTTTTCATGTAGAATCTTACATCAGTCGAGAACTGATTTATTATGCTGGTTCAGTTTTCTTCATTATTTTCAATAAAGGCTCTGTCGGGGAGATTTTCAAAACTTCATGCCAACTGTCTATTATTAGCATCTTTAATATTTCTTGTTTATTTACATTTGTTTATCTTTATTTATTATTATGGGAGCTACATACAGTATTTGAAGATACATTATGGGAGATTAGATAAAGAGCTGGTAGTTCTCACTATAATAGTTAAAAAGTAGATAATTGAAAATTTCAGTCAAATTGATCCTTTCTGAACCGAGAATTTAGCGATTGAATTTTAGGCGTAGCCTCGCTCATCATTACTAAAGTCGGTACGATATAAAAAAAACACAGCATCGATTATCCATTTTTTATTTAATCATCGATGAGTCTTGAGCAGGAGATCGGATTGTAATCCAGTAAATATCGTAGGCTAGCGATGACATCGAGAGTTAATTATGGTCTTGATAAGTTAATTAATGTCTAATTAATAATTTAGATAACATTTCAGGCCTATATAGAAAGACCTGCAATAGGCAGATTTAGCTCTTGCATAATGTATGTGTAAACAGTATTAAATTGGCTTGATATGAAATCTGAATATAAATTATTCGATGGATAAATTTGTGACAAGATTATTTTATGTCTAACATTGTTTATCTTATTTATAAAAAAGGTATCTTACACTCACATTGTCAGCTTAATCACTCACGAAAAGGCATCACGTATTTTTGTTATCCATGGCCATGAAGCCCGTGCAATTTTCGTTCCAAATTTAACCTTAGTTACTACGTACGTAGTTTGCAATACCTTATATGGCATGGGACCGTATATGGTAATCGAATTCACAAGCGTTGATTTGCTGAGAAATGATAGCAATCTTTTGTTATGCATGGTTATCGGAAAGTTCTATATTCGCCATGTATTTCAAATGGAGTCACGACAAAAGTTGTACGTTGTATATATAAATGGTGATATAACTAATATAATAATATAGGTAATAATGAATATATTGACAATTGAACGGCATCGTGCTTATAGAGAATAGTTTGGGATATCAATCGGTTAATAATTGTCCGTGTTATGAAATGAAATGGGGTTTAACGTCCTACTGTTCTGCTCCTAACCTGGGCTAATGAAGACGGGCATACGCCATACAGTGTGCTATGAGGGAAATTTTGCCCGAACAGCTGCACTACGGCCATACTCTTATATCGAATTCCAACTGCCAAGGGATCTTTTACGTGCACGCCAATGTGTACACGGGACCTCGGATTTTCGTCCCATTAGAACGACTAGACAGCTATCCTTGTCAGCCCCTCCGTCCTGCATCACTGACAAGGGAGAACCACGCCGGAAAATCTGGATGAACTTTCTCGGCCCCGACCCCCAGGCTAGCGAGCTAGCGTCTTACCCACTTAACCACGTGATCCCCTGAAGTCAAATGAGAGAGAGACAGAAATGGGGTTTAACGTCCACTCGACACAAACTAGGTCATTTCGGGACTAACATATGGTTTAATTTTATTTACATAATTCGCTTGCGCGTAGGGGTCTTTAGCAGTGGGAGGAAACCGGAGGCCCCGGAGAAAACCCACGAGGTTGAACAGGCGACCCTACTCCTTGCCACGTACAACCGGGGATTCGAAACCACGCCAGTCGACTCAATGACAGACTTTATGATACAGCGCGCGCACGCTAACCATTCAGCCATTCAGCCATCCAACCCCCCTTGAAGTCAAATGTAGTGTTGAAGTAGATAGTTATGTCGTAATGTAACGCGTAACTATTTTCCTACCTTTTGACCTCAAATAAAGTCTTACGCCAAAATTACAACTTAATTTTCATTCAACTCTGGATAAAATTACAGGGTAGAGTCTGTTACCCGAAACAAATTCAGCCACGGCTTCCACTTATACTACTTCGATAATTTCTTGGCTTATTTCTAAAGAACTGACCCCAACAAATATCAGATTGTGTGTGTTTTGTATAAATATTTGAGGACTTTTAATATTGAAAATAATGATATTAAATAACTTTTTACATCTTACTTTTGACTTCGATAAAGCGTTAACCAATAGAGGCGTTGTCCTTCCAACACTACATTTTACTTCACCCAATCGCACTTTAGCCGAAAACCGTCTAGCGGTAAATTTGATAATCTCCTAAATATACAAGCTGATTATTCATAGGGAGTAAGTACAGTAAGTTGCCTTTGTGAAAATAGGCTACGTGGCAAATGAAGACAATCCAAGCAATTAGAGCATTTCTTAAAAAATAGGAAAAGCTGAGATTAGGGAAACACTAGAGTGACGCTAGTTTTGGATTCACTTCACTTGGGTAATTAAAAGCCAAGATAATGTTACAAATTTGGTTGAGGTCAAAACAGTGAGTCAGTGTTAATTTTAGAGGTAAAAAAAATCAGTAAAAAATAAAGTTTTAACTACTTGTCTCAGATGCATTATATAATTCTCCACCAATAGTGTACTTAAAGGTAGATAGAACATAGGGCCTATTGTAACGTGTCATGTCTCTGGATAGAAAATCCGTGCTTTAAAAATCTGAAATCCGTGCTTTGAAAAAATGCTATGTAGCCTTGTGAATCTGGCAAAATTCTATGAGGAAACTTAGCTATCATTATGATCATCGACCACATTCGATTTCTGTTTCAAAAGTACGCCTTAAAAAGTTTCTTTGGACTGTTAATGATGCTGACACACGGTTATAAATATAAATATGTTAATTCTGTTATACTTGGGTTATAAAAGTGGAAGTGTGATATCGTGTTATCGGGTGTCAAATGAAATTTTCACGGAACACCAAAACACCGGAAACCGTGCTTCGCCAATAAAACCTTAAAATAGGCTCTGATAGAACAAACCATTTATGGCAAATGGTCATGAATTTCAATTTTGAAATTTAAATATATATATTTCAAGGTGTAACGTTTTTTTTTTTACATGAACATCAAATTAAGGGACGAGGTTAACTCTTTTACTGACAAAAACTCTAACACTAGCACTAATTTTTTGTACTGACCTCACTCGTATTTCTAGGGCCCAGTAACAAACTTAGTCACCATGGGTGACAGACGAGTCAACCGGTGCCGTGTGGACGACTCAGCCAATGTATTTTGATATTTGTGGACGACGTAACTACACTTTTTGTGTGGACGAGTTAACTGGCATTTCATGTGTTAATATTAGATTTTGAAGGGGATGTCCCTGTTATGATAATAAAGGAAGTCTGCTCATTATTTTTAGTGAATTTATTATATCGTAGAAATTTTTTAGAGAATGTAATCTTTTTTCACATAAATTCGTTTTCAGTTAAAAATATGCTTAAGTAATCAAACTACAAAAAATGGACTTTTGTTTTGTTATCGTCTTGTAAATGTTCATTAATACGCGTTGGCGCGTCTGAATTCGTGTGTGAACAAATAGGAGCATGGAATGTAAAAAGAAGTTGGCCATGTCTGAGATACTGTATCGTACATTATGTAACTATGCACAAAATTTGTGACAATTAAATTAAGTATAGGTCAAACCGCGTGTACAATATTAATCATCGGTCATAATTATGATATGATAATTTAGTGGTCTGCATCCACGCACCTGCTGTGTGTAGTTATCCCCCTTAAACCATGATCCAACCTTGGGCGAAGAAAATGACGTCATGTTCGCAATAACTTCCAGGTCATCCGCCATCTTCTGAAGGAAATCGATGCGATAGATTATTTTCAATCGTTGTACAATTTGAGTTGTAGGTAAGCTATACCTTTCACACCCAGAATTTTGTTTTGGTTGAATATTTGTGTTATAATAAAAATATTAATATGGGAGAAATTCATTTGAATTTAATGTCTGATTGTCAACAACTGAAATTTTTAAGGAATCAAGACTCACTCTCAATCAACGATTTCTTGGAACATAAAGTCCTATTTTATTTCGTTTTCGAGCACTTCCTAATTTACGACGCTTAGTTTTGCAAAACTTGTTGCCTTTACCATTGCATGTGTACAAATGTTTAGGTACCACTACTTTCTTTGTAATTTCTGCAACATTCTCAATTCATTTAATATTTTGGATCATGTTTATTTATTTTAAAGAAAGGGAGATAACTTGTTCAGAGCTGTCAAATAATTTTATATCAAATTGAAAGAAGACCATGGCCAGTAGAAAAAAACCTTTGTTTAACACTAAACAAACTTTATGTGTTCCAGTGTAGAAACCCCAAAAATGCCAAATTCAGATCATAGGTACTAACCCTATCCTCAAAACACAACCAGAAGTCAGCGTTTTTGAGATTATATATAAACTTGCTTGGATTGATCATTCAGTTCCAAGTCCAAGGCTGAGGAAACCTATTGAAATTGAATCAAGTTAGATTTTTCACACTTAAACCTTGCAAACACTTAAGATTTGAAAGTTTTTTTTAGACAAAAGAAAGATAGGGACAAAAAATTCAACTAAATATACTGAGACGCAATAAAAATTATACTGCACTATTTCAAATGTTTGATTGTCTTTAATCATGCATTTCTGGATGTACATGTAACTGCATCAGGTCACAACAATAACACAAGAGAGAATTATGTTTCCATGATCACAGAAACACACAACAAACCAATTCTCTTGAGCACAAAAAAAGAATTCGAGTGCACAATTGTATTAATGAGAACAAGCTTCAGGTACCGTACTGCTGCTACTGCATGGTTCACATGTGTTCATCACTGCTGAAACTGTTTGTCACTGATTATGTTTGTCAGACTGTGGGACTTGACAACATCGAGATCACTGTTTAGACTGGGCAAGACACTACTGACAGTGGTGATTACAGCAATGGCATGGTTTCCTCTTCTCTTATAAATTCAGATTCCACCATAGAAATTTAGAAATGCTGATCTGAGAGGGTGCTGGTGTGGCATTTTTCAGACAATATCTTAATTTACAGTAAAATGTACTCAAATAGATTATTTAAAGTCTTGGTGATGCATTTACACTTTTCATAAAATTTTCACAACTTAATTCATGCTAGTTAAAGTAGTGCTGGCACAATATATCATTAAATCGATGTATTGCGATTCACCATCTCACAATTTGGTATTGGATCAGGAGATACTGTATCGTTTTTTATATGATTCTTTTATATTTTTTTTTTTCTAGCTTCAGTAACCAACCTTTTCCCCCCTAATTATCCTCGCCACACATTATTCATAGGTACACAAACACTCTTAAATTGTTTTGGTCCTTATTTTGATCTGTCGGCCACAAGTAGATAAACGAACATTTCAAGCCCTGGACAGTAATTGCAATTTGTGACTCCAATAATATATCAATTATTCATTTATCCTGTTGTTTTCTTGGTAAAAATTGACCTGGTTATGAATCGCGATACGTATTGTAGCACCCTAATTGCAATACGTATCGTATTGTGACTGCAGTCACAATACTCAATACTAATTTAAAGATGCATTATGTAAGAGCTACATGTAAATTGCCTAATTCAGATCTTTTGTTTGGCCTCAAATGTTAGATAAATCATTGCTGTTCTTCAAAGGCAATAACCCCACTCAGAATGAAGTAATTTGACTGAAATTTTCAACATTATTTCTTTTTAATTATCTATTTTTTTAACTATTAAATTATACCGAGAACTGTCAGCTCTTTATCTAAATCTTACATAATGCATCTTTAACATTTAAGTATATGTAAGAAATCAAAATATCAATGATAGATTGTTTCGTGGCTTGGAATACTATTGTTTTAAAAAGAGGTCCATCAAAAGATTTTAGTGAAGATTATATGTTGTGCTGGCCTTTGAACCTACATGTATCCCAAAGATGCCGATGTTCACAGATTTTCAATTCATGATACAGAATACAGTTGAACTAATTTTGGTCTAATATTATTTTTATAGATTTAACTTTCCTCAAAATGACTTTCAGAACATTTAATTAAGAAGATACCGGTACATGTACCGCTAGCCAATGCAAGAAAGGTAGAAAATCTTGTTTGTATTGCAGCGGATCAAAATGAAGCCCATCAAAAGATTTTACCTAATCCTTATTGGTGGCATTGGCTTGTTGGCATGTGTGTTGCCTACAGAAAATCTCGAATTTTGACATATTTTCAGTTCATCGCCATGAACCATTTTTGGACTGATATTCCTTTCAGAGATTGACTTTTCAAGGGATTCATAGTTAAACTGTATAGGACATATCACCTTACATGTAATTACATGTACATGGTACACATTTAAGGACTAAGTGTTAAATTATTGAGATTTGCTGACTGATTTGATTGTAAGAGTTTTTAATAAAATTTGATCGAAAATCTAAATATCGATGAAATCATACAGATATTTATTGACATACATCACCGTTACACCACGTACATGTGTATTAAAATAAATAGGTGAATATTTTTAATTATTACCTACATGTAGTCTGGTTATTTTATTATTTGAAATTAGCTATAATTATTTTGTTGTTATAAGTCCTAGGTTTCTTTAAAAATCATTCTTTTCCGTGAAATTAATACAGAGTTAGATATTGGAATTCTATCTCTTTGGCTGGATAACAAAACATACAAATTCAATATACATAGAGCCAGCTGTGCTATTTAATAATATTTAGATATGACATATATTGTAGGAAATCATTTTCTTTTTATTGCCAATCTCAGCTGTTGAAATTTATAGGTTTTCATACCAGTAGATGTTCCTGTAGTAATTGAGTTTGTGTTGGCTGGGATATTGTTTCCTTATAAACGGTGTGTTGGTCTAGGATATCCAGAATAGAATTACACAATTTGTTAGACAGGGTTAGATGGTTCTAATTTCTACCATCTGCTTCAAATGTCTTAATGTACAATTTACAATGGAGGTAGACAGAGCTAATGTGAACTAGAATAGTAAATTTCTTGTGCTAGTGTCTCGAACAATTATTATTAGAATATTGAGTTTACCTCAGGTCTAGTCTAGTCTACATACATATATATATGCTTCCTTGCTACCCTTAGCAACCCAGTTTCTAAATATAGTATTTTCCCATGTAAGCGGTGCCAAATATCTACATGTACTCTCTGATAATCTCAGGAACTCTAAATAGTGTTCTATCTTATGTTGTGTACTGCAAGTGGTAGGCAATCCACTCATCAAAGAGATTGTATACAGTGATAGTTATCACCTTCTTGATAAAACCTGGTTATTATAGCAACTGGAACTTCCTGTTATTTAGTTTTCAAGTCTTGGATAAATTAGATTGGGTGCTGAGTCATTTTGATACCAAATGATGTATTTTCTGTGATTTTGTTTTGGCCTAAACTAGTTATATGGAATAAAGTGTGATGGTTTTGTTTTGAATAGGTTTTCGTTTTCGCCTGTTTAAAAAAGTTTCAAGAGCTGTTTATGTGATTCAGTGTGCGATGTTATGTGTTCAACAGCTTTAAATCGTATCTAATGAATATTTTTATCTTGTTTGTGGTTTAGAAATCTGATCTGTATGTAGTTGAATGTGTTATTTGATATTTATTAGAAAATGACTGTGACATTTCTGTAACTGATTAGAGAATCAAGCTAGTAAAATGAATAATACATGTACATTAGGAGATGATTTTCCTGATGATTATATTGAAATTGTTAACGAAATCAATGATTTTATCCGTTCTCTTGGTTCTACAGAGAGTGTTGTGGACGCAGGGGCAACATCAAGTGGTGGGACTGTCGAAGCTAGCACCAGTAGTGCCAGTGGGAGTTACGCAACAAGTGGAAGTCAATTATCACGTGAAAGTGAAGAGAATGATTATGAACCGATAGACTTTTTCCAATCTCCGTGTCCCTCACCACCCCCTACTCCTAGGAGAGTTCGACGGACTTATATCAAAATGACGGAGGGTGGACCAAAACATGTGAAGTCTCTTCACAACTTTAAAGGCAGCAATAATGATGAGGTAAGTGCAAATTATATTTTACTACTAATTTTTGTCCTCTTCCCATCGAAGAAAACAAGGAACTATTAAAATGGGTTTGTCCGTTTGTCTTTCTATTTGTAATCTTTTTTTGGAAGACAGTGATTCTGGCTCTAATTGAAGTAGAATGTCCATAGTTGGTGTAGGTGTATGGAAGATAACTCCACTACATGCAAGTTTGATAATGATCGGGTTAAGCAGAGTGGTAAGCAATTTGATTGCTCTGTGTTTTACAAAGAGACAAATGATCAAGTAATACCTGTACATACCAAATACATGTATAAAGTTGTTTGAGTACTTGAGTACACATGTGTATATAGTATCTACTTACTGTGAATGATAATGTGGGATTAATACGATGCATCAGGGGAATCTGACCAAAGGTTACAGCCATATCATATTTATATATTAACTCCTGGAGTTGTCTTTATTCAGTGGTGTTGTTTTGCACCACATAGATCAGTTGTAAACACATATCACTTTTAAAGCTGTTCATCTATCTGAGTCAATAGAGATAAATGATAACAGCCATTGCTTACTCTTACAATATAATATGTTCTTTAATTTTAAAACCTTCATGATTGTTCAATGATCCCTGTACTTTCTTGTTAGGGGTAACACCAGTTGAGTTGGTATGAAATAGAGTGACTAGTAATTCATATGGGATGACAATAGATCAGTATAAATGGTTATATAGCTTTGTAAATAGACAAACTGTTGTGTTCTTGAAAGAGTTAGTTGTCTTAATTTGTTGTTATTTTCACGACGGACATCACATCTTGTTATTATATATTGATATACATATAGTGTTATATTCAATGCATCATGGGTCTATTATTATGACCTTGTTGTATCACTTAATAAAGTATTAATAGTAGTTGTAGCATGGAATGAAATACAGGTCCCAGTGTTTACTTGGTAGTCTGTGCCAGCCGAAATTAATGATAGATAATATTTGAAAGTGATGCTGCAATGACCAGGTTCTCATCACTTGCACTTCCAGACATACATACATACATGTAACCATGAAGAATAAATCTAAAATGAACATGATATACATGTAACCAGTTTGGAATTATAGTATAGTATTAAGTAAGGATGTAACGAGTCAAAAAAAATTGAACCGGTTAACCGATGGGCAAAAAACCGACCGTGACCGGTCAACCGATTCACTTTTTAGTTGCGGAGTTATTAATCGCCGGACCGTACGCAGGATTAAAGTTTACTTTTTCACACTGTTTAACTTCGTTTTGAATATAAGAAGAGTTTATTTATTGCAGCTTATTTTGTTTTTCATTCAAATTTCTCGGAAGGAAACATTGCGTCGTCTAACAGTCAAAAAGGTCATGGTCTCACGTGGTCGTCACTCGCCCAGTAGCACATGCCGTTGTGTGACAGATCGGAAAATTGATACAATATTATTAATGTTCGACCCGTTATAAATATAGGAACATTCTATGGCCCCACCTACCTCCATCTCAATGTGCAATGTTATAATGTAATCCATTAATAAAATATTTAATTCGACGTCTTTATTCGCGCGCACGGCATTACTTTCATTTTCATACGCATTTAATAGTCAACCTGTAGTCAAGATTACCCAGCCCGAAGATACAACGCAATAAGTCGCTCTTTTCTGGAGAGTCTTAGATCACGGTCAAAACATTATTATAACTTACATAATTTATATTTATAAATATTGCCGTATTAAAAGCTAATACTATAAAATTTGTATGTTTACCACACGTGACTGAACATGTGACCCCATCGAGCCAATGAAATGACGAAAAGATTATACCATTTGGCCACATGCCAGAGGGACGAAAGATACTTTGTTTACGGCATAATTTTTCTACTACGTTTTCGAGCAGCGAATACGACCGTTTTATTACCGGGAAATTTTTGTATCAACGTGTAATATGAACAAGAGAGCCTGGGCTAATGCTAGTTTACTACTAGGTCGATATACACTGACATTGTTATATAGAACGAATAACGGTCACAGGAATATCGAACCGGTCTGGTTGCAGAACCGAACCGTAACCGGTCAACCGAGTAACCGTTTACATCCTTAGTATTAAGCCCCACTCTTTCAATTTCATTGGAATTTCGAGTCTATAAAGTAGTATTACTCTTAATTGTTATTTTAATTTACAGATTTTAGTCCATTTCTGCCTGTTGGTCGTTTTGAATTTATTGCAATGAAAATTAATTTCTTTGTTTTGTACATAAATCTTATATATACAAGAAGTATCCATAATGCACATCATGTGGTGTCAATTATACATGTGTTGTCTAAGTACCATATACAATGTACATTCACTTGCAGTTTCACAAAAATCTTGAGAATGCAGTTTATATTCTCTGACACTATATATAACAACAGTAGAATGTTAAACCCCATTTCATTTCAAATCTAATTAAGTTTAAGAAACAAAAAAAAAAAAATGATCAACATTACTGTGACATTAATGATTTTTCAACCCAGATCTTTGTACGATTTCAAACATATTATATCAAAGAGGAAACCCCAAAATTGCTTGCCTAACATTCAGTTAAAATGGGCACTGTATTAATTCAAAACTTTTATTGACATGCATATGTTTCTAACTAATTTCTTATACTCTCACATTGCTTGTGGATGCTCTAAGACATTATTCATTTTCAGCAATTTCCGATAATTACTGACAGTTATGGCTCTTGATCACTTTGCTAAATGTTGTGGATGCTCTAGAACTTAAATAATCATAGAATTGACTTTAAATTTATACATAGCCATGAGACAAAGAGTTATTGCCCTTGATCACTTTGAAAAATGTTATCTTCACTCTAGATGCTAAAGATAATAAATTTATTTATATAGTGCATTTATTTTTGCACACCCTCTGTTTGTTCATGAAATGAAGAAGTCTTAAAATTACTTTCAGAGTTATTAGTCTTGATCACCTTTAAAAATCATATTTTATGATTGATTAGAAATTAATACACAGTATTTATGTGATATTCTATTAATATTGAATAATTTCCGAGAACTCAAACAACTAAATTTATCATGATTTGTATAATAAATGTTATTATCTCGAAGAACTAGTAGCCAATCAAAGTTTGATTAAATCTATTAATTACTAAATGGATTGTTACTCTCAATCAGTTTTTAGTGTCTTTTAAATGCTTCCATTATACAAAACAATAAATAGTGTGTGTGAAAAACCTTGTCGACTGCTTAAACAACTGACATTCTGTGTGTGTATGTTTCACTTCCCAGTAATCTATCTCTCTAATCGTATATGTATCAAATCATCCATCTTTGATTCCTCCAAAGACCTTTGTCTGGCAGTCCATCTAATAAAAGAATGATTGTTGATAATATGATTACTGGTATTCATCAGTGTCATGTTTTATATAACAATTGTACTATTAATGGTATGAATATGGTGGGGTTCGTAAATAAGTTGTAGATTGACTTCAGTGACGTCTGCTGATTATAATCTTAGTGTGCCACTTGGTTGTTGCCAATATCAAGATACAATATTTAATGCCAATGTCAAGATTTATCCTAGAACAGATCAATAGAAATTTCCTGCCCCACAAAATAGTCGATTACGTACATGTACTACTAGTAATTCAAGAATATGGTTGTAACAGATTGTGGAATTTTATGATATACATGAAACATTTTCAATTTTCAGTTGGTTTTAAACATTTATGTATGCCCACATTTTATTGTATTGTATTTCACTTCATCGATCTTCAACAATAACTTACAAAGATTTTTTTAAAATCTTTTTGGCACCACCGCATTGGCTTTTATTATGATGCAGTTTGTCTGACATTGGTTATTGTTATTGTCGATCCTATTGAAAGGAAGATCTGTAATGCTTTTCGATAAAACTTATGGTGCTATTTCTGTTTGTTACAAAGGTTGTGGAACTCAACAAAGTAGCCTTTTGATTTTCATTGATTTTCGATCATAGCTTCCCATAGTTCTGCCCCTTAAATTTACATGTACATCCATTGGTCCGTCGTTCACATATCTTATTAACACAGTAAAGACTACAATACCTGTAATCCATATACCTTTTTGAAATGATACAGGTTGTCTATCCTATTGAAATGATAAATGCTATAGATTGGTTAAGAAATCTTGTTGGCACCTTATAGACTTTGATTATGATCTGAACTACTGAAGGTTTTTAAATTTTTATGAGTTGTTTACCTCATAATTATTTGAAGGACTAAGCTGTGAGTAGGTGTACATGTATGTTTCATTGCCAGGTAATCTATCATTTGTGTTCAAGTTTTTTTAGAGAAAAGTTTCTTCAAAGACATTTTATTTGAAATCTGTCAATTTTTAACGTATTGACTTCTTGTTTTGAATATATTGTGATTCAGCCTTTCATTTAATTGGCTTTAGGATGCATGTGTTTGTAGGTAAAAATTGTTGTTTTCAGTTACTTTCTGCCATGATTAGTTTTGTTAACAATATCAACATTTAGTACATGTAGATATGTAAGAGGTATTGAAAGGTGAATATTTTTATACCTGTATACCATATGTTATCTACTACATACTACCTACTTTATTACTTACACATGTTTACACATTTGACATGTTAGAATCTTACACAGTTTGCTTGCTAGTCTATGATGGTTTCAGGTGTATCGAAGTTCTACTCTCAGATCTTGGTTGGAATCTTAGGCCTACTGGGAAGTCATTCAACGTGGTTCTATTCTTTGATTTGTCAGACATTTTCTTTATTGGAAACAGGAGGGTTGATAAAGAAAGACAAGTTTAATGATTTGATGTTATCCAAATTATCTTGTCCCATGGTGAAAAAAGTAATACTGTTCCCTAGACACATCTTACACCTGTAACAGTTGAGTGAAATTTGTTCTTGGTGTTATATGAAAATTGAGCTAGCCATATCACAATGCTTCTTCAGGCCTTGACATGTTTTAAAAAAGCTACCTGTCGCTTCAGTA